AGCGTCAACAAGCTACAGCCACCTTACTACTTCGTGCTGCAAAACGCGAGCTGAACTGTTCGTTTCTAACAGATTATTAAGTTCATAAAGTGCTTAGCTATTTAGTTGTAGGTATTTTAGGTGTATTTAATAAATAAATATCATTTTATATTGCAATTCTGTGATAGAAAGTGCGCGCTAGACGTATAATGGTTTTGAAAATGTAAACTGTTTCGTTTAAAGAAAACATTCCACAAAGATAAGAGTATGCTCCTTTTATGGGTTTAATGTTTTCATACTGACATCGTACTGGTAACATATATCCCAGCCCAGTGCTATCAGATAAAAAAAAAAACTTGGAAAAGGATAATATTATTATTAATATTGCATAGTTTATATCGAGCTGTACATTTAACTTTAGTTCCTAAAAGTATAAATTATTTTTTTTAAATATGGCATTTTTATTATCAAACTCCATCTAACATTAATATTTTAAAAAGTAAAAAAACCATGCGAGCTCATTTCATTATTCCATTGAAATGAGAGAGTTTCTCTGTAGCAGGTAATTTAATACAAAGTTCATTCGTCAAACTTGAATCTCGGCTTGTTACCGTTTCTCGGAGCGGGCGAAAAAAATACGTAAATACAAGCTTTCATCAGCGATTCCGCGTAGAATAAAAATATAGTAAGTAGCCTATGTGTTCTACCAGGCAATACTCTACATCTGTACCAAATTTCATCGAGATCCGTTCAGCAGTTTAGGCTATAAACTGTGACATTATTATTCGTTTTAACAATTTAATTATTAATGTAAAGAATGTCAATAAAGTTACCTAAGCTTAGCTTAAGTCAGTACTAAAGTTCCTAATAAAATTCGTACGTGTCGTCATTTAGTATAAAGTCCAATAAACTGAAAGAAAAAGTACATCAATTGGTCATTTGTAATTGAATACAAAATTCATTTATCACGAACGTCCGAAGCCGACTTCGAAACCAATTCATCAAGACGAATGGAAATCGAAATAAAAACAAACGTTTGATCACGATAATCTTATTTTATTACCGTCTTATTTCATCCCCTATTTATTTAAATACTTGTATATTTATTGTGTCTATCTGATATTAAAAATTGTATTTTGCTAACATTATAAATGCGAAAGTTTAGATGTATGTTTGTTAGAGTTTGTAGCCTAAACTGCTGAACGGATCACGATTAAATTTGGCATACATATATCCCCTATAGGGGATAGTCTAAAAGATCACATTCTTTTGTTATTTTAATTCCACGCAAACGGAGTCGCGGAAAACTAGTAAAACGTAAATTCCTCTCTCAGTCATAAACTGTAATCTATGGGTAAAAAATAAATGCGAATAAAATTGCCAAAGTTAAGACAAGTTTTGGGTCTGGCTGATATTTAATATGCTGTTAACACAAACTGTTTTATTTACAGTTGACTGCAGCCGGTGTATAGAATTCCCACAAACTATTGTAGTTGTTGTACCGAATTACTTCACATTTATCAATGTGAAAGATTATTGAACTCGAATGTTCCTTTAAAATATAAAAAAAAAACTATAAAATCATAAACTTATATCCACGATGTTAAAGTACATTTCATTTCTATAAAAATATATAAAAAGCAGCTGTTGCTCGCAACTTGATCCCCGTGAAATTAAAAAAATATACAAGATATAGCCTATGTTACTCGTAGATAAATTACAATTCTAACGGTGGGAGAATTTTAAAATTAACCACGTAATTTTTAAGTTACTTCAATACATACAAAAATACAAACCTTTCCTCTTTATAATATTAGTATAGGTAAATGGCGTAGACGCAATCTTTAAATAATAGTTTCGTTCTTAATCTCAATGATCTGATCTTCGAATTGGCTGAGCTTGGAACAAAAAAAAACTAAAAAAATATGTTTATCTAGGGCGACCAAATCCGGGCTTAAGGTTACAAGTAAAAATTGAAAGTGATAGTCCCGGTTTGAGTAGATTTGCCCTGAGGGAAATGACTTCGGTTCATACGACAGGGTCGAGTTTTTTGTATGTACTATAAAATTGTTTTACATAATGAGAATTGGAGGCGCGAAGGGTCACAGGAGATGATACAATTTTTTTTTATCAATTTGCTTACTAGAAATAGAGATAATTATATAACTAAGAACTAACTTTCGAATGAGAATCCGTCCGCGTGTAATTAAAAAAACAAAAGTATGTTGCCTATGTTTTCATCTACATCCCAAATTTCATCAAAATCCGTTCAGCTGTTTAGTCTACGTATCCTAACAAACATCCATAGATCTAAACTTTTGAATTTGTAATACTAGTATGATCACATAAACAATTTTTATATTGTTGAAAATATATCAATTTCATTATCTTATATGTATTGTATTTTACAATGTTTTAAATTTACTCCGAGTGCAAATTGTATTAAACGATTTAAAAGACCACGAATTGCTTCCAAAATAAATAACAGTCAATAATTCACGTTGTCTCCCATTGTTCGGCGAGTCCCGGCCCCGAGGGAAATTACTACAAGCGTGTGCAGCACAATAGCAGTACCAACTGCCGGAAAACCACACGAAATGCAGTTACACGCTTTTGTTTGAGACGCATACTAATCTAAAACGCACTATCTTATTTATTTTAATTTAAAAATTGTATTTAACATTTATTAACAATTCGGAAACTATTAAATAACGTTTTATAAGACTTTCTTTAATATTATGTAGGGGTAAAAAGTAGAGATAAATTTTAACCCCAGCATCGTGTAACTCCGTATCCATTTATATGTATAACCGGAAGGCTTCGTGTAATTGCAAGGGGTCCGTTACAAGCCTCATTCGTTGTTCTAAATGAGCTAACCCAAACGTTACTCTGTTCCACCCTTGACGTACTGCACGCTCCAAACGACATTGCGGAAATTAAACTATCTTGTTAACTGCTCTACGTCTACCTTGAAAGATATAGTAACATTTTACCTTAAAATATGAAGAGGAATGTAGTAAATTATTGTACAATATAACCTATAATTTAAGTTAGCTGTCATTAGAAATTCTGATTAAATAATGAAAACAATTTGATAGAATTTTTCAACAACTTTTTTTATTTTTTTAATAAAAAGGTTGTTAATCGTTAATTCTCTTTTTTTTACGTGAGCCGATTAAAAACGCGTGTAAACATCGGACACAGTTACACAGACGAGGTCATTTTTGGCAGAATTTTAATTTATATGTCGCGCATGAATTGCTTTCGGGAAACCAAACACTGCATCAATAACCGACCACAGTTTGATTTATGATTGAAGCGTAAAATAGATTAAAGTTACAATAAATTTTGGAATTTCGCTTTTTTGTTTATTTTCCGATTAATTCCTAATGCAGGAAATTATCACAAAATAGTAAACTAACTTTGGCCTGCGACTCCGTCCGCGTGGAATTAAAAAAAAGTGGCCTATGTGTTTTTTCAGACTATCCTATACGTCTATGCCTTTCATTGAGATTCGCTAAACCGTTTAGGCTACAAACTCTAACAAACATCAATTTAATGCTTAATCAAAACCTTAGTGAAGTTTTCTTTCTAAATCATAAGTCTAGTAGTTAACGACTTTAAAAACCCACCACTGTTAGCCGATTCAGATAGCTTAAAAATGACGTCACTGTCATAAGAGAACAAAATCTGATATTTCCATCACGTGTTTTACACGTTGGATTGTGATCAATTTACAATTTGGCAGAACGAGCCCTAAGTGTTTAATTTTTATAGCATCCGTGAAATCAGAAGTATTTAAGAAATACTTATCTAAGAGGGGTGTTATTTTGAAATAAATACACCGGCATGGTTATAATATGTATATTCTCATTTAATATAAAAAATTATAGATATATCCACATTTATTTACAAAATAAGTAGATGGCGAAGTTGCATCCCTTGACTTGCGGAAACCGAGACAACACAGCTGACGTCAGAGACATCTGACGTCACGTCCTAATACTGCAGGCGTCGCGTCGCGTTCGACGCACATGGCTGACAACTGACAGCTGTCATGTTGACATGTGTCAAAATAAATTTTAAGGTATTATAATAAAAAAAGTTGGAAATAAATTAGGCCATATTTTTTTTGCTTTGTGCCTTATTGACCATTTCATAAGATTTACATATATTATGTCAATTCTTTATTTATAAATTTTATTTCATTTTTTTAACAGTCTAATAACAATATTAACCATGCAATAATAACAATATTTTGTAATAAATCTATTGAAAGTACTGATTTAATCTAAAGTTTAGTACTATGACAGCTGTCAGTTGTCAAAAATTGACTTTGGGTGAAAAGACTTGACACAAACATAATTTTAATAAATTCTCTAAGATACTATGCAGTTGTTGACCAATATATACTCTGAAACTTAAAGATTTCGTATATTTAGTTTGTGCTAAAAATTAAAAATTACTTTTATTTCTTATAGACTTTTTAAGGAGACAACTACATAGGACCTTTTCCAGACTAGACGAAAACAAATAATGTTGAGGGTTTCTGACTGTATTCACATCTGATTGGACAAATTCCATATTGCCAGATTTAATTATTTAATTGGAACATTTTATTGCTTCAACGTTACATAACACACAAGTTCAATAACAGTAAAATTCCCTCACAATTTTTAAAATATAAGAAGGTGTCAAAGGACACAAGGCACATAATACATTAAATGCATCCAAACGGGATGCGAAAAAACATATATACATAGGTCGAATTCTAATGAAATTATGTACAAGACAATAAGCCACATTTCATATATCGATACTACCTCGATAGTGAAATAAACTTAAAAAATCGATTAATTAAAAAAATCGATACAGGCTTTAAAAATGAGAATAAAACTCTGCTATGTAAAATAGCACATATCGGCGAAGAAATTAAAAGATATGTGTGAAGTCAACCAACCCGCACTTGGCCAGCGTGGTTGACTAAGGCCTAGTCACCCTTACTTGGGGTAGGCTCCGAGCCCCTCGGTGGGGACGTATAGCGAGCTGGTGATGATGTAAAATAGATGTTTTTGTTTGATTTTTTTAAATATAAATAGAAAAAGTTGTCATTGACTTATCAGTAACATGTAAATATTTGAAAAAAAATATTCATGATTGTCTAAATATCGATGAAAATCAAATGTGACTTATTTTTGGCCCTGCTTTAGATAATGGAGCTGAGATATTACATACTAAATACGTCAGATCTAAAATAAAATCCAATTGCACCGCAATGTCCTTCTGGACACATAAATTCTTTATGTACTTTAAACCTTAACATAAATGTTAAATAAAAAAAAATTATATAACCTTAAATGCGTGCGACACCGCCCTTTATTTCTACGATTGTACATAGTTTTTTACAAAAAACCGCGGCCGAAGCCTTTACAAAAACGTCATGATATGTACACTATGTATTTATATACTTAAACTAAACTAAGTGATCACTGAACTCTCTGTCTTTTTACAAACTAACGTCTATGCTCTAAATTTTAGAGCACCTCAAATATACACGACCATTAATTATTGCCATCAAAATAAGATATACGGAATTCATTTCCTAAAATTCATCGAAACATTCAAGTAAAGTTCTATTATTTATTTGCATTAAAACAAACTGTCAGAATGTATTAATAAATCGGCCATTTTGAAATCAATTTAAAGTTACAAATACAAATTGACAATAGATTTCATTATTTCATTGATTTTTTTACAAACAAAATAAAGAATGTCCTAGGCCAAACTATTGCTTTGCAAATGCCTTCAAAAATCCATCAAATTCCATCAATAACATCCAATGGCGCGGATTTAAATTCTTCCACATGCGATATAGTACCGATTTAAGGGTTACTAACGGCCTGGGCGAGATTTTACGAC